AAATTGACCTTATCATTAGGGGTTTAGAAATAGTTGAAATTTAAGGAAAAAATGAGGCAATTTGTATTGAAAGGAGGTATTCTATATAATGGTGCAATAAGTAAGGTGTACACATAAATTACAAATATCCCATTTTTTTTACAAAAGCAACAAACATCGCTGAACACACTTTTTGTTAACATTCTCAGCAGATCAAAAGTAATAAACTTGAATAATCTGTAAACGTTGTTCTTATGTTAGACGATTCGTGGTAAAATTATAGACCAAACTGAAGATATTTGACAGTGAAACAAAACATGAAAAGTACGTAAGCTGTTACACCAGTGTTGTCATACATATAATACCTAAAAATCACACTTTTAAATTTTCGAAATGTCGGTAACGTTGTATTGAAGCTGCGTCTAAAAGTTGACCTTACGTTGAACTTTATTACGAGAAATTAATCCGACTGGCAATCTAAAATGTGAAATTAAAGCCAATTTGGTTTGATATTTGTTCAGCGACTTCCAAAATATTGGCAACCTGTATTGCATGGTGGAGGGTATAATGATATACAAGGTGGCGCAAAAGTAAACTTCCGATGTTTTTGGCTGCAATTTAGTTTTAGTTTTTGTTACATTAAGTCGAGAATATGATGTCATGTAAATAGCCGCCGCCACAGTTAATTGTCATTAGATCCATTTTTATGGCATTTTCCACCACTTTGACCAAAGCTGCCGGCGGCTGGTCACCACATTCTTGACGGATATTGTCTTTATGATCGGAAAAAGTCTGAGGCTTGTTGACATAAAACCTCGACTTTAAAAAGCCCATCAGTGCAAATCGCTAAAACGGGAGATTAGGAGCCCGGGAAATGCATACTTCAGCATATCGATTGTGGCACGTGTAGTGTGTGCCGTTACATCATCCTGTTGCAACCACGTGTTTTCCAATCCCAACTCATCAAGTTGCGGCAAAAAGAACTCGTTCATCATTGCTTTCTAGCCATTGTATTCTCACCATTCACAGTAACCGTTCGGTCCGCGACCTCTTCGAAGAAAAAGGTCCGATGACTCCTCCAATACCGTACAGTGACTTTGAGCTCTTCGTGGATTTCCAGTAAGAAGCGTAACTTTTGCTTTATTACGTACCCGCAAAGAAGGAAATGGGCCTCATCACTCATGATTATTTTTAATGAAAAATCATCCTCTTCTTGGTGGCAATTAAGAACGGTGTGAGCGTGTATTAGACGCGATTGGCGGCCAGCAGCCAACAGCTAATGAACCATCTAAACTTTGTACGGAAACATCTTCAAATCTTGTACCAATATTCGCTGTAAAGGTTACCGACTAATACCCGTTTGCGTGGCACGTCATCTGGTCGATGTCGACGGCGCTTCCGGATGATCCGGGGTCTGCCACGCCTAGCAGCATCTGTCTCTTCAAGGCGAGCGGCTTAACGTCGCAGTGTAGGCGTTGGACTTCCAGGAAATCTGCGACGAAATTCACGTTGTGCCAAAGTTACCGACCGACTATTGACCAACAGACCAATATTCCGCGTTCTGGAGCAGTGTAGCGTAACATTGTTTATTAACTTTTATTTTGCATGCGTTTACTACAAAAATCTCAAAACAGAACTGACATTAGGGGCCAATCGTAAAATTTATAGCATTTTATGATAGAAGATTATTGCTTTACAAATTCGAAATTTGAAACAGTTCCGGTGAGTAATGCCCCTAAAATCATCAAAATGCAGAATATCGGGAGGTATCGTTCAATGGGGGCTATACGAAAACTGGACCTGCATACGCAATTTTTTGTTATAGGCTGTAATACCCATTACCAGCTTCTATCTCAAAAAAATCTCGAGAAGAAGAGATGGAGGTAATTGCAAGGAGTTAAAGAAATGTGCCGGCAAGAATTTGTAAACTCTGTCAAATTTCAACATCTCATTCTCGAATCGCTCTCTTTTGCAGACAGAGACAGACTTCCCTAACAATTTACTACAATTGTTACAAACTTTTGTCAATGATTGTGTAAAACTTCAAAGTAGTATCTCCATAACTGATTTTCCTATATGATGTCGAAAAAAATGCAAAATTCATTCATGCTCTGGAACAGAGTAAGTGCAATAGACAATCCATGTTAACAGACAAATTCTAATAGTCCTTTGTGAATGAATTGCGGGAGCCTGTGTAAAACTTCAAAGATCTTTATCTAATAGGGGGTAATTTCAACAATTGCCTCAATTTTCTCCAACACTGTATGCTTGCTTATGTTTGTAGATAGGTATATATTTATGTATGTTTTCTATATATTTTAACTTTTCTTCTCTTAAAATCAGTGTATAAAATAATGTTAATTGCATATTCTTTTGTCGTTTACATTCTATTTCCTTTTTCAAAGAAAAGAAAAACTTTGGTATTCGTTTGTTAGGTAATTTATTGTTACTTTCTATTTCTTTGAATTGTTTGTTGGTTTGTATGTACGAGGGGTTTTGTATTAAATGCTTATCCAAAAATTTGTAGTTTATTAATATTATTTTGTTGTCAATATTATTCCATGCGTGTCCTGTAACATACACATACATATGTAGGTGACATTTCATGCAATGTGGGTCAAAACAAACTGATGTCATGGATTTCAAATGGAACTTCAGGAAGGATATATATTTCTATGTATCTCTGGCCCTATTTAATAGCTTTTTAAAAACTTTTGTTTTTTCGAAAATTGCATTTTTTTACATTAGGAAAATAAATTTTTAAAACTTTTAAAATTTTTTTGACTTTACTCCATAACCATTTTCTTGAAGCTAGCTATGCATATTAATCTCAAATTATAAAGGGAAACGACGGCAGAATTCTAGAGCGGCTCTGACATCCCTTTATGATACGTCACAAAATATGCCATGCGAAGACTTCAAGATGTTTTTATACTCTCACCTTTAGTCCCATTATTTTTATATGTATGTATACGTTATTGATATTGCTATTTCATGTTATTTTGTTCTATATATGTTGGTGTGTGTGCGTGTGTAGTATCCTGACATTTTGTAAATTTTACAAAAAAACGAACATCTTTCTTTGATTCTAAGGCAACTTTTACCATTGATATGATATTTGTTTGTTGTTGTTCTTCTTCTTCTCCTTTTTGTAGTTTGGTGTATAACATCGTTCAAATGTAAACTGTATGGATTTAGAAATTATTGTGTTTATATCTCTTGGAAATGAACGATTTAACGGAAAGTTACATAAACTTAAATGGTTTTATGTTATGTTTTTGTAGGAGAGTTGGAAGTTTAGTAAAAGTTTTCGGTCCATAATTTTAGTTACTTTTTTAGATTTGCTAAACGAACTTCGAATTAAGGGTTTCTTTCCTTATGTCCGTCAAGATAAATTAAATTTTATAGCCAGCTTTAAATCCTACATTATGGGTGTAAACGTAGAGTTAAGGGGTAAAAAATTCTTCAGCGTAATTTTTAATTACAATATTTTTATTTAGCAATTTCTTTGTAAATTTGAAATTTGTACGGAAACTTTTGAAATTTGATAAAAAAATAAAATAAATTAAATTACCTCTAATTTTTTTCTGGTTTACTACCTCTCTCTCTCTCTTTATAAACTCTTTTTAAACCGGAGAAAAAATCACCTTGGTTTGTGTCTTTGCTGATTAAATTTATTTTTATCTTGTCGGATATTCTTTCCCTGTTCTTTGTGGAATAAGGGATTATAACAGGTTAAAATTAAAGTTAATCTCTCCTCGATATGGTTAACTGGTTCGAAAAGTAAAGAAGCGTCTTGATCGAAGCCTGCGTCGCAGTCGCGGAAAAATGGCTCGTGAGCTGAACATATCGCAATATTCCATTCGGCAAATATTGAAAAATGAGCTCGGGGTAAAGCCATTGAAATGTCAAAAAGTGCCTAAACTTACACCGCACCCTAAAGAAAATAGACTCGAACGAGCTAAAGAGTTGCTTCGCTTGGCCGAAAGTGGTGAACTGCCGAATTTGTTTTTCTCCGATGAGAAAACATTCGTTGTCCAGCAGTTTGTAAACAAACAAAACATGTAAACTTGCCAAAGAGGTCACCTTCGGTTGGCGACCAGAACTCAAGCGCCGGCCATGGTGATGGTGTGGGCCGCCAAAGCAGCCGATGGTCGCCCTCCGCTCGTATTAATCGACAGTGGCATCAGATTAAATGCCAAAAATTATCGCGAAAATATTCTGGAGGGTGTATTATAGCCTTGGGTACGCAAACATTTCGGCCGTACACCTTGGACATTCCAACAGGACTCAGCACGCTCCACCCAAGAATGGTTACAAAATGAGGTTCCTCGCTCGTTACTCATTTCCTGCGCACAATGGCCACGAAAATCTCCGGATACCAATCCGTTGTCTGAAGTATTTTGGAAAGCAAAGTTGGAACTAAAAAATACCAAAATATCGATCACCTCAAGCAAGCGCTTCGCCGGGAATGGGCCAAAATACCGCAGAGCAACATTCGGGCAGCATGTGAAGCTTTAATTGGCCGTTTTAAGGCCATAATTCGTGCCTAAGGTGACCAATTCGAACAAATCCGAACTTATTCTAAAATTTGATGCTATTTCCGAATTTTTTGCTTTCATTCAATAAAATTTAAAAGAGAAATGTAAAAATTATGGCTTTTGACTTTCTTGCAGTTTTTTTGTCTCATACTGTATTTTTAACGCAAGACCTCAAAAAGCCCTTCAAAGCCTAGAAGGGTTTATATAGTGTTTTAAATATATTTTAGGCCCTAACATTTCGATAATATGAAATAGACATCTAAACTATATTCTCTATAAGAAGGTCCTTAATGGTCTTCTATCTTAAAAGCTCTTTAGATGCTTTTTTGTCTGCCGAGGACCTCTCAAAGTTCAGAAGACCTATTTCGAAGGTTCAGTTCAAAAAAGTGGTTTTAGTTTTTTTGATTTCCATCCCTCCAAAAATTAAATAGAAAATTAATCAAGAATACCCAATTATGGACCAAAAATAACTTGTACTTATGCCTATACTCCGACACTGTTTTCTGTATAGAGTTATGGTTTTATGATTATAATTTGAAAATTTGGAATTTTAAAATCGTGTGTGCCGAAACATTGTGTTTTCAAAACGTTTTTAATCTGGTGATTTGTGGTGCATGATATGTACGGTTACTGGAAGGGTTAAAGATAGAGAGTGATATAGATTAGGAGCCGAAAATTGTAGATTGATAGGTATATGTAGATGTGTTCAGGTGTCTTTTTCTTGGGGCGGGTGTAACCGATTAGGTAGTTTGGTGAAAGTGATTCGAGGCAATTGTGCGGTGGTTAAAGGTAGGCATTGGTGATTGAGATTAGAAGTGAAATGTTTGTTTTTGGATATTCCTTTCATTTGGTATTTTTCGTATTTTTTATTGGATATTCATGCGTTTGACGAGAAATCTTGGAGATTTTTTTCATTGAATACTTGTTGTTGTTTATTGTTATTATTTTGGTTTCCTTTATTTTTTTATAATTTTTCCTCAAAATAGTGTTTATAGGTAGTTTGTTATAAATTATTTTTCTTCGGATTTGTTTTCTTTTTACGATTTTTTTTTATGAAACGGCAGTGTTTTTTGTAGTTGTTGTTTGTCCGCAGTTGTCCATATGGCAGCATTGTTTTCAGTATATAAATATGTATGATTTTTTGAAGAATTTTGAATGATGTGTGTATTGATGGAGCTTCTATGACTTCCTCATACTTGGGCAGTCAATGGCATGTTCAATATTTTAAATATTTTTTTTCGTAGTTTCTCAAATATCAACAATTTCAAAATCATCATCATCCTCTTTGCTGACTGTCAAAATTGTTTGGGATTTTCATTCAAACATTTGTAAACAATAAAATATTTTATTTTTTCGATTTACTGAAAACATGGCCTTTCGTGTGCCCACTTTTCATTTTTTCCTCTCCGATTTTTGTTATTGTTTTTGTTTATTAATCAATTAATAATCTGTTTACGCTGCCTATCGTTTCATTCTCTGGTCGATGGATGTAAAGGGGGATCCCCTTATTTCCATCTCCGCCAATTTTGTGGGTCCGAAAGGTGCCATTCAATGGATCACACCCGTTGAGGCCCCACTACTGCCGCTAATTAATGGTTCGCGCGAATTAACGGATGTATTCGATGGATCCAGATGTTGCTTTTCACTGGCCAGCGTGAATTCCGTTGACGTTTCCACTGAGTCATGTTGACTTTGTGTCTGTTCATGGCGTCTCGGTTTCGCTACATTGGCGGCATCTTTGCTTTGAGCAGTTCCATCGGAGGCCGGATAGCTGGAGACACGTTTTAATGCCTTTGGGGTTGGGGGAAAAGATCATAATAAAAATTACATTATTTTTAATACAAAATATTATTAATTTCAAATTAAAATCAAAAATATTTCTAGAAACAAACACAAACATGCTTACAAAAAATATTATAGAAAATTACAAAAACAACAAAAGTGCATTCCTTTTTACAAAAGGGGAATTGTAAATCAAAATAGTTTTTTTTTTTTAATAGACAGGTTTTTTTTAAATATGTTTTAAAGGGTTTACAAAGGTGGATTTTTTACAAATAATTTTTTCCAAAGGATTCACCATCGTAAAAATATTTTTTTTCAAAGGATTCAGAAACGTGGATTTTTCAAAACATTTTTTCAAAGGATTCACCATCGTGGATTTAATAAAAAATTTTTTTTTCAAAAAACTTACAAACGTGGATATTTTTAAAAATATTTTTTTCAAAGGCTTCATAAACGTGGATTTTTTAAAAATATTTTTTTCATTGAACCAATAAACGTGTATTTCTTTAAAAAATATTTTTTTCATTGAACCAATAAACGTGTATTTCTTTAAAAATATTTTTTTCATTGAACCAATAAACGTGTATTTCTTTAAAAATATTTTTTAAAGGATTCACAAACGTGGATTTTTAAAGAATATTTTTTTCAAAGGATTCACAAACGTGGATTTTTAAATTGTTTTTCTTCAAAGGATTCACAAACGTGGATTTTTATTTTTTTTTTCTTCAAAGGATTCACAAACGTGGATTTTTTTTCTTCAAAGGATTCACAAATGTGGGTTCATTAAAAGTATTTTTTTCCAAAGGACATCTAGACGTGCTTTTTGAAAATATTTTTTCAAAGGACATTTAGACGTGGATTTTTTAAAAAATATTTTTACCGAACGACATCTAGACGTGGACTTTTGTTAAAAATATTTACAGGTCGGAGGACATTTTGGAGGTCGTGCAAACGTCTTCTACGTCCAAAGAACCTTTTACATGTCAAAGGACTTTTTTGAGGTCGTGGAAAGGGTCTATATGGTCAAAAGATATTTTACAGGAACGAGGAATTTTTAGAGATCATGGAAAGGTCTTCTATGATCAAAGGACCATTTACAAGTCGAAGGACTTCTTGGAGGTCGTTCAAAGACCTTCAATGGCCAAAGGAACTTTTACAGGTCGGAGGACTTTTTGGAGGTCGTGGAAAGGGGCTATGTGGTCAAAAGATATTTTACAGGTCCGAGGAATTTTTTGAGATCGTGGAAAGGTCTTCTATGATCAAAGGCCCTTATACAAGTCGAAGGACTTCTTGGAGGTGGTTCAAAGCCCTTCAATGGCCAAAGGACCTTTTACAAGTCTGAGGTGTTTTTAAGGTCGTCGAAAGGCCAGAGGACCTTTTATAGGTCGGATGACTCTTTTGAGGTCGTTGAAAGGTTTCTATGGAGGACTTCTTGGAGGTTGTCGAAAGGCCAAAGGACCTTTTATAGTAATGACTTTTTACAGGTCGGAGGACTTTTTGGAGGTCGTTGAAAAGTTTCTATGGAGGACTTTTTTGAGGTCGTCGGAAGGTCTTCTATGATCAAAGGACCCTTTACAAGTCGGAGGAATTCGTTTTAAGGCCTTCAATGGCCAAAGGACTTTTGGAGGTCATCGAAAGGCCAAAGGACCTTTTATAGTTCGGATGACTTTTTGGAGGTCGTTGAAAGTTTCTATAGTTTTGAATGTCTTAGAAAGCTCTTCTATGGCCACTGGATCTTTTACAGGTCGTAGAACTTTTGGAGGTCGCGGAGAGGTCTTCTATGGCCAAAAAAACTTTTACAAGTCGGACAACATTTTGGAGGTCGTCGAATAATCGTATATTGTAAAATCGCCTTTTGAAGTCCTTCGTGTTAATTTTTTAACCAAACTTCGGATATAATTCTCTTAAAATCGGGGATTCCTTAACTTTATATTCTACATATATTCAAATTCTCATGCAACCATGCAAAAATCAGAAAAAACTCAAAAACTGAAACCAAAAAACAACAGGGGGTGCCTTACGTACACTATTACAATAATCAACCGAAACTTTTGGATTTGAGGGATGTTGAAGGAAGATATTGAGGTGATGGTTGTGGTAGTAAGACGTGCTGATTTGAACTTTATTATTTCGATTTATTCGTTGTGGTGGTACATAGGGTGCTAGCAGTAGTAGTAGTAGTAGTGGTGGTGGTGGTTTTTTGGTAGTAGAGGTGGCGATAGCAATAAATCGTGGGCAATAAAAACAAGAAAAGAAAACAAAAACTTGTGCAGTTATCAGGTACAAATATACAAAACCTTATCGTTCAATAAATCCGCAGCATTCGACGTCGAGATCGATTCGGTGACGGGGCAAATATTTTTACTCGATGAGAATTTCTTACGTTTCTTTTTTAAAGCGGCTATAGCGGTCAGGCCTTTAAGCAACACAACAGAGGTACGCAAAATACACGGACGAACGAACGAACGAATGGGGAGAAAAAAGAAAAACAAATTTGGATACATTTACATACCTCCAGTAAATACACAACACCTACAAATCTACTTGTTTTCTCTCTGTTAGTTATCCTTCAAAGGACTCAAAAACAAAAAAGTTCCAAAAAATGTTTTTTTGGCAAAACAAAAGAAAACTTCATTTACCCGTTGGTGTGTGAAAGAAGTGAGAACCGCCAGCACTGCCATTGCCGCCATTGAGGGCAGCTGTCAGCCCACCCAGGGTGGTGGGTCCATTGACGTTCAAAGGTTTCAAATGATCTTTGCGTATGGTGGGTGTGGGCATACCAGCCATTGGTGCAGGGATATTGTAGCTCGGCCCAGTTGTTGATTCATTCGAATTACTGCTGTTGTAATAACTTTGGCCATTCTGCGAATAGGTCACCCTCACCTGGCCATGGACTGGGGACGAAGTTGTCGACGAATTACACACCGAATCTTCGGATTTGGAACGTCCTAACATTTTCGAAACATTACCCACTTTGGCTGCCTCGATAAGGGTACCCCATTTCTTTTTGTGACCCGCAATCCTTTTGTTGTAGGGTTTCAGTGTGGATTTGTTGTATTTATTGGCCGACTGCACAGTGTTCACCGTGGAAATGAGCGAAGGTGGTGGCGACTCCATGCTGTTGAAACTATCACTGGCACAGAAAGTGGCCTTCTTTTGCATGAAATTCGGTGTAAAGAGATTCGATAGGGTTGACGACAATATGTCATGCTGCTGTTCGAAATTGTCCAATGAGGTGGAAAATTCAGCCACCGGGGCTAGAGACCCTGTGGAACCCGGCGGAGCAATATTGAAACCTTTCATGAGACGCCGTTCCTTTTGGCGATTCTTTTTACCACCTCCTAGGGGGAAGAGAAACCATATAGTTATTTTTTAATTATTAAATCATTTAAGCTTGTTCTTAATTCTCACCTCCTCCCTGTCCCGCCGACACATTCGTATCCATGCCACTATTTTTGAGAATTTCCACCAGTTCACAACGGAATGCCGATATATCTTGTTTAATTTCATTGACGTCATCTTCGGTGACACCCTGTGACTCAGCCTTACGTTGCTCTACCGTTACATAACGTCTCACGAGGTTGCGCATAATTTGCTGATATTTGAAATCACGATCGTTGGCCTGTTGAGCTTTACGCTGGAAAAAAAAAGAGAAATCATAAGAAATATAATTTTTGGTATTATTTTTATACGAAATAGAGAACTTTAGAAAGGATGGGCAGGGTACAGAAAATTACTTATATCTTCAGAAGAGCTTTTAAATGTTTTATAGATAAGCTTTTCAATGTGTACTATCCAATAAAAGCTATCGAACTTCTTCAATTGAAAGGATAACCGGCATATATCTCGGCGTATATCTTCAGAAGAACTTTTTAAGATTTTCAAACTATGAAGAGCTTTTAAAGGGGTTTATCGACTTACAGAAATGGTCCTATATCTCCAGAAGAGCTTTTACAGTTATTTCATTTAAAAAACGCATTCGAAGTTCTTGGGGCACTTGGGTCTTCTTTTTTAGAAAAAGACTATGGAGGTCTGCCATGAATATAAGAGCTTTCAGAGAGGTTCCATGAATTGAAAAGCTCCTGAAGGTCTACTAGGTAAAATAAGAATTTCAAAAGGTCTTGTAAATACGAAAGAGCTTTCGGAGGCCTTCTATAAATAAGAGCTTTTGGATGTTTTTTTTGTGAAAAGAGGTGTTTTTAAAGACATTCGTTGGTCGAGGTCTTTGAAAGGCCTTCAATGGCCAGAGGACCTTTTGGAGGTCGTGGAACGGTCAATGGAGTTTTTATGGGTCAGATGAATTTTGGAGGTCGTTGAAAGGTCTACTATGGTCAAAAGTTTTTTACGGGTCGGAGACTTTTGCAGGTCGGAAGAATTTTGGAGGTAGTGAACGGCCAAAGGACCTTTTCTCGGATGATGAGGTCGTTAAATGGTCTTCTATGGTCAAAGGACTTCTGTAGGTCGGATAACTTTGTGGATGTCTATAACCAAAGGACCTTTTACATATCGGAGGACTTTTTGAATGTCTTGGAAAGCTCTTCTATGGCCACTGGACCTTTTACAGGTCGTAGGACTTTTTGGAGGTCGTGAATAGGTCTTCTATGGCCAAAGGGGCTTTCAAAGGCCTTCTATAAATAAGAGCTTTCGGAAGTTTTCTGTGAAAAGAGGGGTTTTCAAAGACGTTCGTTGGTTGAGGTCGTTGAAAGGCCTTCAATGACCAAAGGAACTTTTGAAGGTCGGAAGAATTTTGGAGGTTACGAACGGCCAAAGGACCTTTTATCGGATGATTTTTGGAGGTCGTAGAAAGGTCTTCTATGGTAAAAGGACTTTTACAGGCCGGAGAATTTTTTGGAGGCCGTCGAAATGACTTCTTAAACAAAGGACCTTTTACAGGTCGGTGGACTTTTCGGAGGTCGTCGAAAAGCCCAACGACCTTTTATAGGTCGGATGATTTTGGAGGTCGTTCAAATGTTTCTATGGCCAAAGGACCTTTTACATGTCGGAGGACTTTTTGAATGCCTTGGAAAGTACTTTTATGGCCGCTGGATCTTTTAAAGACCTTCTATGAATAAGAGCTTTCGGAAGTTTTCTGTGAAAAGAGGGGTTTTCAAAGACGTTCGTTGGTCGAAGTCGTTGAGAGGCCTTCAATGGCCAAAGGAATTTTGTATGTCTTAGAAAGGTCTTCTATGGCCACTGGACCTTTTACAGGTCGTGGGATTTTTGGAGGTCGTGGAGAGGTCTTCTATGGCCAAAGGACCTTTTACAGTACGGAGGATATTTTCTATTGCCATTTCAAAGACGATGATGAGCTTCTGAAAGACTATAAAGAACTCTCAAAGCTTTTTGCCTATATCGGCTCAATGAGCCTTTCATCTGCAGAAAAGGTCTCAAGTATCTCAAGAACTTCTGCTTGCAGTGCATTCATCAAGAGTCTTGGAGTTAGAGAAAAGCCCTCAATAATATGGTATCTACAGATGAGGTCTCAGCTTTTAAAGACATTCTGGTAACAAAAAAACTTTCGCTCTTCGTTTATCTTTTACAGAGCCTTTAAAATACATACATAAGAGCTCCTAATAAACTTCAATCTATGGAGAGCTTTTATATGTTTTCTTTCTACAGAAAAGCTTTAAAAGACCTTCTGTCAATAAAAAATCGATCAAGGGCCTTAAGGCCGCAGAAAAGAGCTTAGAATATCTTTAACTGCCGAATAGCTCTTATAAGGCTTCAGTTTACACAAAAGCTCTTAAAGGTTATCTGTCTACAGCACTTGTATTAGGATCCTATTATTTAAGAAAAGCTTTCTGCATTGCGGCTCTCAAAGGTCTCTAATTTATTTATGGAATAGCTTTCAAAGGTGTCTATCTACGGAAAAGCTTTTAAAGCTTTTTATCATAAGACATACATAACACTGCCCTAAAAGTCAATTCATCAATTCAGAAGAGCTTTCTAATGTCATCAATGCTCTCAGAATTTTACATCACATAGAAGAGCTTTCACAGATCATTTGCCCACATACAAAAAGCTCTCCAAGGTTTTCTGCCTAGAAAAGAGGACTCTAAAACAGTATGCCTACAGAAGACTTATGATAGGTCTTCTAACTTAAGGAGGTATTATATATATTCTGAGTACAAAAGAACTTCCTCGTTCAAAAAGCTTTCCAAGGAAAGCTTTAAAGACCGTCGTCATATTGAAAGCTTACAACTACTTACCCTAATTGTCTTCAAGTGTTCACGTCTCGCTGCCGACGAGCCACTGCAGAAGACACGTCGAGCCCACTTGAAGGCATACCATATGGACTTGGGTGTTGGAATTATATTAAAAGGTGGTGGACAAGTGCCGCCCTCTTCAAAATAGCTGATCCACAATTTGGAGCGGGCAAATTTCCACTCAACATCGGCACGTTCCTGAAAGAGGAAGAAGATATAAATTTTAGTTCAATGTAACATCTTAAAAATGCTAGTCTACCTACCGATATTAATTGATACGAATGATTCATCATGGCTATAAGCAGATTCAGCAGGACCACAATATTTATAACCGAATAGGTGCCGAACATTAACATGCCCCAGAAACGGGTGAATATTTTAATGCCATCCAATTCGAAGCTATCCAAATCGATGAGACCGAAAACGGCCCAGAACAAGGTTTGAGTTGTCTCAAAGAGGCTAAAGAAAGAGAGAGATAGAGAGAGAGCGAGAGAGAACAAGAGAAATTAACAAAAAAAACTCATGAGAAAAGCTTAAAAATCTTCACTTACTTGGAAAAACGCCGCCATACAATGCAGGCATTCGGGTCGGTGGTACCGTTCATATTGAGCAGAACATTTGTGGGCGAGACCTCGGGACATCTCTTCTTCTCCAGGTCAGCATAGTACCTAAAAGAAATTCTCCATAACTTATTTGTCGTTGTTTTATTGGTTTTGTTTCCCATATTACCACAACAACTGATTCAAACCACTCCCGAAGGCAAACAACACCAATACATACAAAAAGAAGAACTTCATAATATCCATGACCATGCGGGACAATGACACTTGCAGTGGACCCAAATGTGGATTAACCGAAAATATGTAAACCAATTTGAGGCTACTGAAAATGTTGGCCGCACTGAAGAGACCTTCCGAAATGAGCATTGGATCCCAGGCATCCCAACGCTCACGCGGTAGATCGGTGGCATGCGGATTCGTGATCATTTCTTTTTGTACTTGGAAAAATGACACCACCCTCAGGGCGACAGTGGCCACATAGAGGGAATTCGTAACGAAATCGATGACATTCCACATATCGTTGAGATACTCTTGGAGGCCAACATCCCATAGCTGTTTGACCTCGCTCCAGATTAGACCTTAAAGAATAAAATATAGGAAATTAAATGGAGTTATAATATTTGAGACACAATTTCAAAATCTCCGACTCACCACTAACCCAGGCCAATATCAACCACTCAATAAAGGTGGGCTTGGCACCCCTCTTGGTGGGCAACTCTTCCACTTGATGGACCATATTGTTTTTGCTGTCTGACCAAAACCAACCTCCAATAAATGTTTCAATACGCTGCGAAGCCAACATTAATAAAACTGTGAAATACCAGGTTTTATTGAGGAAAATTGAAAATGTTTTCGATTTTTAAATCACTCACATAAAAATGTAAAATATGAGGCACTGTGACAGATAAATTTTATAAAAGGTTTACGCATTGTTTGTCCAACACTGGAATAGGGCGCCAATATATAGGCCAATGAGAATATGGGAAACATCATACCTGTGAAAGAGGAAAAATATTAAAATGTAATAAATGGCTATAGATGACCTCTACAATAGTTCTTATTTATAGATGACTGCTTGAAGACGTATGTTTTACATTCTCTTCGGACTTTAGAAAGTCTAAGGTTTCTCCTATCCATATAAGAATTCTTGGAAGTTTTAAGGGTTTATAATTACTCTCTCTCCTCTTGAGATATAACAGCTTTAAATGGCATGTAGTGTTTTTGTTTCTGGTACCATTTCTCATCCTATGGACTACGATCCCAAAAAGAAATAATTTTAAAATTATCAGGCGCACCAGTCGATAGTCTTAAATTTGCATATTTTGCATTAGAAAAATATTTTGACATGACAAGTTTACGCTCTATTGTTTCGCAAGTTTGCGGGGGAGATTTCAAAAGGGGTGGGTTGATATATATCATCTTCCTAATAGAATTATTGGGACGTATGACATTTTAGGTGTACCAGGTTATTTCGCATTTTATAGTCGTTTTTGGTTATTTAAAATTTAGATCCATTGTGTGAGGGTGAGGTACCGGAAAGAGTGGCCCGATCCATTCCATCTTAACACCTGATCTTGTGTTGGAAGACACATTGGAACAAGCCGAATTTGAAAGGAAAATCTTGACCCATTGAGGGGGAGGTCAGTAGTGGTGGAGGAAGTAGTGGTCCCGTCTATCCGTTCTCCATAGCAGATCTCGTGTTTGTAAAAATATTGGGAAATGCCGAATTTGAAAGGAATCGGATGCCCATTTCATGTTTTATGAGTTTCATGGTTATTCAAAACTTTGACCCATTGTGGCGGAGGTACCAGAAGAAGTGGTCTATGCTATCCTTTATTCATACCAGACCTTGTGTTGGTGGAAATATTGAGATGTGAAAGTCTCTATTTATTATATCCTCAGCCATATGACTATAGAGGATATATATTATTTGGAAGGACCAAAACGGTTCTCATCATAATAACAATTTTAGACCCTAGGTTCTATTGGACCAAATCCGTATTAGGACATTTGGAGTCCATTTAGATAATGGCTGGTACGTATCATAACTGTGGAAGGGACTATCCGATTTGCTCTAAACTTGGTACGTCGTAATATTATTATCAAACTTATATCTAGTGCGGAGATGGACAATATCGATCCACTCGTTCTAGTACATTCCCCACAAAAGAAAATAAAGGATAATCCTATTTTGTTCCAACTCCTAATATTTGCATCAGTGTTAGGTCAGCTGCGAAAATGGACAATATCCATCAAGTAGACCCCCCACAAGGAGTCAAAATTTTGAATAATTAAAATTTTTAAAAAATGTGATGTAAGAATCCTATTGTCTTCAAATTACACACATCGCAATATCTGGTGTGAAGCATGGTCTGGTGTGAAGATGGAATGTATCGGTCCACGAATTCCGTTACCTATCGCACAATAGGTCAAAATTTTGAATATCCAAGGAGCTCATAAAACACGAAATTAACATTCGATTCCATTCAGACTTACCAGCTCCCAGTATTTCCATCAACAAAATATCTGTTATAAAGATGGTTGAGATCGGAACATTCCTTCTGGTACCTACCCCACAAAGAGTCAAAGTTTTATATAACCAAAGCGATCATAAAATCTAAATTAAGCATCCGGTTTTTTTCATATTTCACACATCCCATTAGAAGAAGATCTGATGAGAAGATGGGATGGGTCCACGCCATCAGGCACCTCCTCCACAGAAGGTCAAAATTTTCAATACCCACGAAGCTCTTAAAACGTGAAATGAACGTCCAATGCCATTCAAACTTAGCATATCTCAACATTTCTATCAACACAAAGTCTTTTATAAAGGTGGTAGAGATCCGACCATTTCTTCTGGTACCTCCCCCACAAAGGGTCAAAATTTTTAATAACCAAAACGATCATAAAATCCGAAATAAGCAACCGGTTCTCTTCATACTTCACACATCCCATTATTTCTACTAACACAAGATCTAAATATTATCACATAGCTCATATAAAGTGAAGGAGGTGGGCAATGTGGTCTAAACTTTGCACGTCGCAATATTTGTATCATATTTATTTAGGTCCGATACGAAATTGACAGTATTGGGCCATTCCTTCGGAACCTACTCCATAGAGGGTCAACCATTTCTATAATCATAACAGAAGTCAAAATATATTTAAATAATCGAATATTGGGTGAGGGTATACATCTGTACCGATTGATAATCTTTAACTTGTTATACCCTCCACCATACTCATCGAAATAATCATTCTAGACCCAACAAAGTATATGTATTCTTGATCAGCGTAAAATTCTAAGACGATTTAGCCATGTCCGTCCGTCTGTACGTTTGTTGTAATCACGTTACAGTCAAAACGAATTGAGATAGGAAGCTAAAATTTTGCACAGATCTCTCTTTTGTCTGCAGGCAGGTCAAGTTCGAAGATGGGCTATATGGGTCCACGATATTGTATATCCTCCAAATAACGATACACCCCGATATTCAGTATTTTGATGATTTCAGCCACATTTTTCAATGGAATTGTCTGAAATTCAACACAAGCGTTCACTGTGAGTACTTTATCTGGAAGATAATTATCTATACAGGCTTACGATATCGTATAGCCCCCATATAACGGTATCCCCCGATATTCGATATTTTGATGATTTTAGCCACATTTTTCAACGGAATTTTGTGAGCACTTTGCCCCTTTGTCTATATAGGTCCACAATATCGTATACCCCCATATAACGGTACCCCCGATATTCGGGATTTTGATGATTTTAGCCATATGAAATTATCTGAAAATCCACACACGGAGTTCCTTGTGAGTACTTTATCCTTTGAAAGATAATTATCTATATAGGTCCACGATATCACATAGCCCCCATATAACGGTACCCACCCGATATTCGGTATTTTGATGATTTTAGCCACATTTTTGAACGGAATTCTACACAAGGGGCCAGAAATAGATTTGTCTATATAGGTCCACAATATCGTATATCCACCCATGTATCGGCACCTTCTAATATTAATTATTTTAAATTCGGCCCGGCCGAACTTACTGCTTTTTACTTATTTTTCCACTCAATTTAACGCTTAGAGTAAACTCTTATTGCACCATTATTTTCCAACCAGCAATACTTGCGAGCGCTCTTTTCGAATTTTTCCAATTAGAAGTTAGTACATGTTTTTATATCACACAACATTTTGCTAAGGCTTTGAGCATTTGTGTCATGTATTGAGCATGTATGTCTTTGAGCATTTGTTTGTAACATGGAGAAGGAGCGAGATAGATCCATATTTATTTGGAGGATCTTCCATATATATCTTCAAACGATATCAGGTTTATTTCTGCACAAACTGGCCAATATCAGTTCAAATTATCTGAATCAAATTTGTTGAAAATCGGTTCGGATTTAGCTATGGCTCCCATATATATGTTTCATCTGATTTGGGGTTTTAAGTCCCTCACATACGCTATGTGCACTCCACAACAATGATCTTTGGTATCAGATACAGCTCAGAAAATTTGTAAAACTCGGTTCAGATTTGGATATAGCCCCCATACATAACTTTATCCAATTACAGGTTTACTGTGTACCAAATGACTAATATCAGCTCAAAAGGACTGAATTCTGGCACTTTCGGCGGAATTCAGTCCAGAAGCAAGTACATACAATTTTTAAGTCCCTCACATGCGTAATATGCACTCCACAACAATGATATTTGATACCGGACATCAGATACAGCTTTAATACTTTAAATACTTACTTTAATACTCTGGTAAATTTTATCAAGATCGGTTCAGATTTTTTTTATATCTTCGATATACATCTTCATCCGATTTTACGGTTATTGTCCACACAAATTGGATAGATTTTGCCATATTCAACCGAATTTTTACATTTTGTGAAACTCGGTCCGGAATATCTATTGCTTCAATAAATATTTTTTAATATAATTCTTATCGAGGTAATAGTCATTATTGATTTAGAGTTGCATATATTTCCCAAATTGTGAATAGTCATGATACGCATTCACATAAATTCCCAATATAACCTTTTTTGTTCTGGGAGCTCTACTAAATACGCATAGTGGTGTAGGGTATCATATACTGTCAAAAGTCTTTAATATTGCTATTGATGGCTATATCCTCAAATTTTTACCTGCTGGTTATGAAAGTTTTAGCTGATGGTTATGAGGAAGTAAACTTTAAATACTCACCTATTCTTATAATATCTAAAGCTTGTAAAGCCATATTTTTGCGGCGAAATCCTGGTAGGCCTTCATACCAAATGCTCGCCAGCAGTTGTTGGACATTCGAATGGGCAACAAACTAGAACCAATTAAGGAATAAAATAAAAAAATGTTGAGAAATTCAAAATTATTTCCGAGGTTTAAGTACCTTCTTTTGTCTTAATTTTATGGCTAATTTTAAACGATTTAAATGCATACGCTCGCCATGCTCATAAACTGGACCGGTAGGATCGTGATTTAGTAAAATTTCCAATTCATGAGAGGTGCGGGTGTGATCTAATAAAGCGGTGGCAAAATCCTGGCATTGTTTGCGCAATTCCTGGTATTCATTCTGAGGGGAGGGAAAAGAAATATACACATTTAATTTCAATAAATGGTAGAGTACAACCCATACCTTAAATTCATGTTCTAAAAAACTCAAACGTCTCAGCTCCCACGACAGCTCAAATGCAGTTAAAATAGGATCCTTCGAGGACAAGGCAATTAAACTAGGGCTGGCCAGAGCACGATAGGCATTGATGCGGGAACGCGAATGCCGCAATGAGTCCTCTTGCCGCGATTGAACACATTCATCACAGCCGCAGCTGGGAGGGGAAATACATATATTTTTTAAAATAGCTTAAATTAAATGTTTTATATTTGAAAATTTACCGCACATCATGAGGCATGGGCAGCACCGCACCGCGATCTAAGAGAATTTTTATTATTTCATAGTTATCACGATGTGCCGCCAGTATTAGAGGTGTTATGTCGGGTGTAAAGGTCGACGTTTCCTCCGGAGAAGATTCCCAGCTCTGCAATAAAATCCTTTAATGTATTTGATTTTCTTTTTGTAATCGATTTTCAAACCTACATGATTCCCCTCTATTGTAAAAGTAACATGCTCATGATCCAGCAACACCTCCACCGCCTCCACAAACTCTTCAGATATGGAATGTAATAAAGCATCTTTAGTATCGACATTATAGCTTATCAGCAACTCCACCATTTCCAAATTTTCATTATCAATGGCCATCAGCAGTGCTGTCCGCCCCAGTGGATCCACACAATTGATATTGATGTAATCGGTGTCTTGGGCCTTTTGTAGCATCCTAGGGGTAAAATTAAAAAAAAATTTAATATAAATTACGTATTTTACATAGAAATTCGGAAAACAGTTATCTTTCGTTAGATAAAAATGCATAAACAATTTTTTAAAATCTATCTCTAACAGTACAATATTATGTACCTTTTTGGTATTAATTTCCAAAACTCCACTTTATATCTGTATTGTCTTTATATCTCTAGCTCTAACAGTACAATATTTAGTACTTTTTTGGTACTAATTGCCAAAAACTCCACTTCATATCGTGTCTTGCCTTAATATCGACCTACTACATGCGAGGTTTTAAGATTTTAGCTTCAAAAGGACATTGCTCCAAAACTCAGTGTTTAGTACCATTTAGTACGAAATTTCAAAGACCCAGTTTGTATCCAGCATGTGCACTAATAGTAATCCATATGTAAAATTTTGGCATTGTTAGCTGCAAAAACTTTATTCTTAGTACCTTCTTTAAAGTACAGAATTCTAACTTTAGTTTCACAAAAAAAGCCTTTGCTACAGAATCAGTAGATTTCTTCTATAGAAGACCCTATGAACCCATATTTGAGAATGCTTTTTTGCCTGAATTTCTATTATAGAATAAATCTGACTAAAAACTGGTAAATATGTTATAACTGTGGAACATCAGAATTAAGATCTCTAATATTTTTAGGCCTGCAGCAGAATGTTCTAGAAAACGTCTATAGATAATGTTCTAAAGGCCTGACTCTCGAGTTTGTTGAAGTGTCTCGAGTCTTATCTACAAGATATCTTATCTACCAGAAGAGGATTCGTAAGGGGAGTCTACCCAAAATATACCTCACCAGAAGTCGTGCAATGAGGGCACTCAGAACACTGCAATTCATGAAAGATTTGCGAACAGCGCCCAATGGTTTATCTTTTATAGATGACCTCTTGATGGGATTATATTCTTTTAATTGTTTTCTCTTAGGTGACTCCTTTAGAGCTTTTTGAGAGGTCTTTTGTTTACAAAATGGTTTCCTATTTATAGCAGACCTTCAAAGGACACTATTTTCAAAGGTCCTTTAGGGTAGCGTTTCATTAAAGCCCTCTCTTCCATATTTGGAAGATATCTCAATAGATTCTTTTAAAAGTGTATTATTCATAGGAGATTTTCAATTCTCTTCAGTAAAGGCCTCTAGAAAGTGTACTGAGTATAAAATATTGTTTAAAATTTATAAAACACCCAAACGACCCTTTCCGGTTCTAAATTCCAGCATTTAGAAAGCTTCTCAAAATTTTTCTGTATATGGAGAACTTAATTTTAATTGAAGACTACCTAATTGTATAATAGTTTCTAGATATATTCTCCTCATAGAATAATCTTAAACTATCCTCTTTCTTGAAAAAGCTACTAAAATCTCAAGCTTTCTGGAGAGCTGTTTGAGGCTTCAAGTGGCCTTATACCTATAAACAAGTAATAAAGTGGCTTAGTTCGTCCGGACCGAAAGGTTAATACCCTCCACCATTTCGACGGAACTTACTAACTGTAAAAAAATTTCCGTTGAAAAATGTCGCTATAATTTTAAAAATTCCGAATATCAGGTGTTACGGTTATATGGGAATATACGGGAACGTGGACCTTTGCATCCAATTTTCTGCCAGAGAAGGAGGTACCTATTGCGAACTCGAAACACCAAGCTAATAGAATTCTGATGAAAAATATAGCTGATATCATTAAAATACCTAATTTTGGGATGCGCCGTTATGTGGGGGCTACACGAAGAAGTGAATTTGTATGGCGAATTTTCTGTCATAGGAAACAGTCCCAACTTCGCACTCAAAATTCCGAATTTTAAATAATCCTGTTGAAAAGTGTGTCCAAAATCGTCATAATACCGAATTTAGGGAAGTAGAGTAATACGTAATATATACAAAATGCGGACCTGTATAGGCAATTTTCACTGCTAGGAGATAGTAACCATTACAAAATACCAAATTTTAAACAATTCCGGTGAAAAGTATGACGCGAACCATCAAAATTCCGTACAGTTATATTTAGCCTATACTAAACCGTTAACCTCTACAAACAATTATCTGCCAAAGAAGGTATTGCCTATTACGAACTGAAAATACAAGTTTAAGATAATTCTGTTGAAAAAAGGTGGCTAACATATGGGGGCTATACGGAGGTGTGAACTTGTACAGAAAATTTTCTGCCATAGGTGGTAGGTACATTTTAACATTTTCTAAAAATTATCACATATCTCATATAAAGTGTAAAAAGTAGCCGATATATAGATTAAACCTGGCATGTCGCAATATTTATATCATATTTATTTAGGTCCGATACGAAATGAGCAATATTGGCCCATTCCTTCGAAACCTATAACATAGAAGTTTGAATTTGAATAATTATAACAGTCAAAGTCAAAATATATTAAAATAATCGAACATGAGGCTGAGGGTAGACATCTGTCGACAAAACCGACTGATCATTTTTAACTTGTTTTCTTTTGTGTTCCTCCACGGGGCCTTTTACTGCGAGCTTTCTCCCAGCAACCTTCTACCCAGAAAAATGTTTCTTTTTGTACAAGCGTACAAAAGCACTTTGGTGAGAATTTTCCAGAAAAAAGCGATTTCTTTATATTTGGCTGGAAAGCCACAAGTGGCTATCGTAAGAGCACTCCAGCATTTAACAACAACATATCCCAATATTCCATTCGGCAAATATTGAAAAATGAGCTCGGGGTAAAACCATTGAAATTCCAAAAAGTGCAAGAACTTACACCGCAACTGAAAGAAAATAAACTCAAAAGAGCTATAGAGTTGCTTCGCTTGTCCGAAAGTGGTGAACTGCCGAATTTGCTTTCCTCCGTCTCCGATGAGAAAACATTCGTTGTCCAGCAGTTTGTAAACAAACAAAATGATCGTGTTTACTTGCCAAAGAGATCAGCTGAAAATGTGCACCTTCGGTTGGCCACCATAACTCAAGCTCCGGCCATGGTGACGGTGTGGACCGCCTAACAGCCGATGGTCTCTCTTCGCTCGTATTAATCGACCATGGCATCAGAATAAATGCTGAATATTATCGCGAAAATATTCTGGAAGGTGTATTAAAGCCTTGGTCACGCAAACATTTTGGACGCAGACCTTCCAACAGGACTCAGAACCATCGCACTCAGAACGCACCACCCAAGAATGGTTACAAAATGAGGTTCCTCGCTTCATTTCCAGCGCACAATGGCCACCAAAATATCCGGATACCAATCCATTGGACTATTTTGTCTGGAGTATTTTCAAAAGCAAGGTTGGCACTAAAAAATACAAAAGTGTCGATCACCTCAAGCAAGCGCTTCTCCGGGAATGGGCCAAAATACCGCAGAGCAACATTCGGGCAGCGTGTGATGGTTTCATTGGCCGTTTGAAGGCCATAATTCGTGCTAAAGTTGGCCAATTCGAACAAATCTGAACTTATTCTAAAGTTTGATGCTATTCCGACATTTTTTGCTTTCATTCAAAAAAATTTAAAAAAAAATTAAAAATTATGGCGTTTGACTTTGTTGCAGTTTGTTTTTTTTTTATCTCACCCTGTATATTCTTGATAAGCATAAAATGCGATTTATCAACAATCCGTTGATCCTTCTGTGGAAATCACTCTAACTTCCGAACGAAATAAATTAGGTTGATAAAATTTTACTCAAATATATATTATGGCTGCAGGATTTTTGGTATTGAAAATGGGTCATGTAGGTCCACGTTTTGGTATAACCCCCATATAATGGTACCTCCCGATATTTGGTATTTTGATGATTTTAGCGACATTAATCGGAATTGTTTTAAATTTGGTATTTGAGATTCGTAATGGAAACTGCAGACTAAAACAGAAAATTGTCTCTGCAGGTCCACATTTTCGTATAGCACCCATGTAACGGTACCTCTCGATATTCAGTATTTTGATGATTTTAGCGACATTATTCACCGATTTTATTTTTAAGTTTCGCATTTGAATATTATAATGGCTTATGACAAAAGTTGGCTATACAGGTCCACGTCGTCGTATAGACCCTAATACTATAATGGCTACATTCGATATTTTTATGATTTTTACAGAATTTTTAACGGATTTTATTTTATTTATTTTTTTTTTTTTTTTGAAAATTGCCAAATTCATTCCAAATGGTGGGGATTTTTCAATGTTCGGCCCGGCCGAACTTACACCTTTTTTTACCTGTTATCATTTAAGAAATTTATATAATATTCCCAGATGTTTCAGTCTTTTAGATACAGACATCTGCCAGAGCTCCCATATCTACAGATGTAAAATTTATGAAATAAGACCATCTTAAAAACGAAACCCTTATGAAACCTTCAATTATGTTTCTTTCATTGTAATACCTTCAGAGGTTTACTATTTCATATATTTATCATTTGAATCTCTTCACTGGGTATTCTATACATAGTGAATTACTTCGTGCTATCTCCCAGCGAACTTCTACCCATAAAAATCTTCTTTTATAGCCATAAAAGTCCTCCCAGTATTCCTCAAATGCAAATGTTCTAAAAAATCCTTCAATATTCCTCAAAAGAGCCTACTGCCTTTTGTAGTACATTCAAAGGATTTGATAAATTTAAGATGCCTACCTATGAAGGATCTAAAGACATGCAATGTTTAGACGAAAGTTCCAGACATTAGTATCCACAGAAGACATCCCTATCTATATGTGGAAGAGCTTAGATGACCTTTCTGTCTCTATAATTTACCTCAATTTACTGTCTAGAAAGAATCTCAAGATTATCCAATAATAAAAGACCTCCAAAGAAATTCCGTGTTTGTCGAAAGAAAAATCTACAGTCTTTGATCGATAGGGGTTTCAATTCCTTCTATTTAAGAACGATTTTTTGATCTTGTATTTATAGAAGGACTCAAGTTCCAGGACTGTTTTTCGAAAATCGCCAAATATCCTTTATGTATATATCCTGAAAACCATCTTTGTTTACAGAATAAATTTTAAGACAATTCTACGAATTCTCACAATTGTTTTTTAAAGACATACCAGATTTCTTCCAAAGAATTACCCGCCCTACCTTTTATCCAGTACTCTAAAATGGTCTTGTATATATTTTCCAAAAAAGTCTCAAAAGACAGGACTTCACCCTTGCAGCATCGATAGCAGATTAAAGAACTTTTACAGACAGAATACGTTATATAGGCCTTGAATATGGCCTTCAATAGTCAAAGGACCTTCCCCAGATCATCTACACCTCCTATGACAAGAGGAGTTTTTTAAGGTATGCTATAAACCAGGACAGCTTTTATAGGGCTCTTATGATTAGAATGCTTTCTAATGATCTTCTAAACACAGAAGAGATTATAAATGTCTTTTATAGACAGATGCGTTTATACAGGTACTCCAAGGAGAGAAGATATTTTAAAATTCGTCCAACAAAGAAAGTGATTTTAAAGGTATTCTAAGGATAGACTACCTTTAAAATAGGTTTTTATAGGGTATAAGAAATGTGTATGTCCTCTATAGGCAAGTGAGCGTATTATGGCATTTTAGAGAATAAAAGGCTTTAACAAACTGTCTATAAACTATAGATATTTTAAGGCTCTTCTGTCTATAAAGTTGTTCACTGTCTATAGAGAACCTGCTCCTAGGTGATCTGTATCTTAAAAAGCTTTAAAGGTTTTTATATATTTTTGTTTCCTTCTCTAAAAATTATTTTACTCACTGACCTTCTGGTGCCAGCCATATCACCTCGTTCCACGGCCAACAGAAATTTCTTTTCCTCCAATGTCAATTGGCGTATTTCCTGATGAGGTCGTATGATGTTCTCCTCCTCCATCATGCCGTGGATGCTGTGGCGCTGGAAATAACATTTAAATCGAAATCAAAACAGAGCAGCAAAAACAAAACAAAACAGAACTCTTCTTAGACATGAAGGTCAGTCAGCTAGTCAGCCAGCCAGCCAGCCAAACAACCAGTAATAGTAGCACTAGCTTCGCAATATTCACGCATACACACACACATACATCCACTCCTGCCAAGAATCAAAGACCTAGCGGAGCTACAGTCAAAACTTACCTTGACCTTTTTAGCCGGTTCTATTTGTACACTAATGTGACCCGTACTATCGGTGGCATTGGATTTCTTTTCGGTATCCGAGCCGTTGCCTCCAGTGCCACTGCCGCCGCTGATGCTGCTGCCACCGCCACCACTGCCAGTGCCGTTGCCATTGGCATCATTGCCATTTTTTATTTTATTTAAGATGGGTGCCAGCACTGACTTCCTGCGTGCCGGGCTGACAAAGTGCAGCTTTTTTCCTTCGTCTGCAGAGAAAGAGAGAGAGGGAGAGATGTAAAAAAGAAACATTAGTATTTTAGATAAGTGGGGAGATAAGAGGAAATTGAATAAACCAAAACACAAACAGACACACACATACACCCTCACCCTCTGATGTGCATTTAAATGCACTTCAATAAATTATCCATGGTCCAAGGATAATACTAGGATATACGAAAGATGGATGGATGGGTGAATGGTGGAATGAATGCCTGATTTCACATTTGAAACATACATATGTGTGTGTGTGCGTGAATTTCACTGTATGGGTTTGTTTTTATTATGATGACATTGATTATGTTGTCGAAGTTGACGATCCGAATGCATGCAGCTGCTGCTGCCGATGACAATCTCCCCTACCCCTCATCATAATGATAATCATCGCAATGATGATGACTTTCTGATTGAATGGCGTAAAATTACATTAAATTATGCTGATTCACTGCGAATTCGATTAGAATGAAAATATATGCGAATATATGGAGAAAAATATGATTTATTTTCCCCACACACAAAAATATGGAGAGCATTGTTTGATTTGTCATCGCTCAAGGTTGCCAGTGAGGTTGTGAGGGAGGGGTGGGGGTAGGACACTGGAAAAGCCACTTAATTTTCCACAATAATAGACAATTTGGAGGACATTGAAATCGAAATTTTTCATCGCAATCCTCATTTGTCAGAGATGACATTGTTGCGTTTCGTTGAATACACAAAGCGATGTGGGACATCAATCAAATTGAGAAGAATATCTGGAAATATTTTGATTTGACAGGATTTCATCCTTGCAATATAGATAGCAGATTAAAGAACTTTTATGGACAGAATACGTTATATAGGCTTTGAAGATGGTCTCACCTCCTACGACCAGAAGAGCTTTTTAACGTATGCTATAAACCAGGACAGCTTTTGTAGGACTCTTATGATCAGAATGCCTTCTAAAGATATTCCACTCACAGAAGAGATTATAAATGTCTTTTATAGACAGATAAGTTTATACAGGTATTCTAAGGAGAGAAGAGCTCTTAAAACTCGTCCAACAAAGAAAGTGATTTTAAAGGTATGGTAAGGATAGCCTAGCTTTAAAAAAAATATTTTTATAGGGTATAAGAAATTCATATGTCCTCTATAGGGCAGTGAGGGTATTATGGTTCTTTATAGAAAGTAAAGCTTTACAAAGTTATATATAAACTAAAGAGCTCCTAAACTACTAAAGGCCTTCGCATTAGAAAGAGGTTCTAAAAGGTTGCCAGACCTTTGAAAGCCATCTAACGACAGACAAACTATAATCAGAAATGTACAGGGTGAGATAAAAAATCTGCAACAAAGTGAAACGCCATAATTTTTACACATTTTTTTAAAATTAAATGAAAGCAGAAAATGGCGGAAATAACATCAAATGTTTGTATAAGTTTGGATTTGTTCGAATTGGTCACGTTTGGCACGAATCATGGCCTTCAAACGGCCAATGAAACCGTCATACGCTGTCCGAATGTTGCTCTGCGGTATTTTGGCTCATTCCCGGCGAAGCGCTTGCTTGAGGTGATCGACACTTTGATATTTTTTAGTGCCAACCTTCCTTTCCAAAATACTCCAGACACAATAGTCCAACGGATTGGTCATTGTGCGCTGGAAATGAAGCGAGGAACCTCATTTTGTAACCATTCTTGGGTGCGATGGTGCTGAGTCCTGTTGGAATGTCCAAGGTCTGCGGCCAAAATGTTTGTGTGCCTAAGGCTTTAATACACCCTCTAGAATATTTACGCGATAATATTCGACATTGATTCTGATACCATGGTCGATTAATTCGAGCGGAGAGTGACCATCGGCTGTTATGGCGGTCCTCAACCCAACCGGAGGTGCACATTTTCAGTTGACCTATTTGGCAAGAAAAAACGATCATTATGTTTCTTTACAAAATGCTGGACAACGAATGTTTTCTCATCGGAGCGGAGAAAACCTAATTCGGCAGTTCACCACTTTCGGCGAAGCAAAGCTCTTTAGGTCTTTTGAGTCTATTTCCTTTCCCTTGCGGTGTAAGTTCTTGTGCTTTTTAGAATTTAAATGGATTTACCCCCAGCTCATTTTTCAATATTTATCGAATGGAATATTGGGATATGTTCAGCTCATGAGCCATTTTTCGGCCACTACGACGCGGGTTTCTATCTTCTTCTTCTTTAATTTTCGAACAATTTCTGCTGATGTTGCTGTTTTCTTCCGTCCACTTCCTTGACGTCGGGCTACGCTACCAGTGACACGGTAACGAGCGTCGGTATTTTAGAGAAAGAAAAACTATAAACTAAGGAAACTAAATCCCTTCAAAAGAGAAAGAATTTCTAGAGGGCTGCCATATTTTTGAAAGCCATCTGACGACAGACAAACTAAAGCCAGAAAAGCTTTTAGGCATGAAGTAGATATGTGAACTTTTACAGATATTCTAAGACAGAGCTAAATGTATTCTGGAGGCAGAAGGACTACTAAAGGGTTTCCAGAAATAGAAGAATCTTATAATGAAAGAAGAGCTTTTATAGAGTTCTAATGAAAAAAGCGATTTAAAATATCTTCTAAATACAAAAGAGCTTTTAATTATATTCCGTTGATAGATCTCTTCCATACAGAGCTTTACAAGGTATCCTACAGACAAAAGAGTCTCTAAAAGATTTCTATAAAAATAATTAGTACAAATGTCTTCTAAAGTAAAACAGAGACTCGCCTCTCTCCTATACACAGAGAAGCTTTAAAAGTTTTTATAGACATAAAATCGTTTTCAGTTATTCTGTAAATAGAGAAGGTTTGATGTTCCCCTAGAGTAGAAGATCTCTTAAATTTTCTGTAGATATGTGAGCTTTTACCGGTATTCTATAGACAAAAGAGCCTTTGAAGTTATTCTGAATGCAGAAGGATCTCTAAAGGGTTCCAGAAACAGAAGAGCTTATTAAAATCGTATAATGAAAGAAGAGCTTTTGTAGTGCTTCTAATAAAATAAAATATATGAAAGGCAGAAAAGTCTTTTATAGTCATTTTATAGACAAATTTATTCCGCAGGTCTTTTTAAGGTATTTTATAGACAGGATAGCTTTTTAAGGTCTCCTATATACAGATCCCCTACTACAGGTTCTCTATAGACAGTGAACAACTTTATGGACAGAAGAGCCTTAAAAAATCTATTGCAGAGAACGTTTTAAAGATTTCTATGTATAGAGGAGCTTTTAATATTATTATGTAGACCTAAGAATTTTCAAAAGTCTTTTACATACAGAGCTATTATAAGGGTTCTTATGATAGACGAACTTCTAAAAAGCTCTAAAGGTATTCTATAGTCAAGGAGCTTTTAATGGTTTTTTATAGACAATGAGCTGTTAATAGTTTTCTATTGACGAAGAGACTTTTATGGACTTTCTATAGAAATTAGTGTTTTCAAGGTATTTATAGACATGAGGGATTAGAAGAAGGGTTTCTATAGAATTCCTGAAGCTCTTGTATAGAGATGTATATGCTGTTCTATTGAAAAAAGGTCCCTTAAAGGTTTCTTGTGGACAAAATGACTTTCAAAGTTTTTCTAAGGATAGAAAAGCTTTTAAAAATATTTTTGGAAGTCTCCTAATATCAGAAAAGAATAAAAACCATTTATTGACAGAATATCTTTAAAAATTAATTTATAGGCAGAAGAGCTTTTAATGTCTTCTAACAACAAAACGTTATTTTATGGTAATCTATAATGAGAAGACCTTTTCAAAGTTATTATTTGGATATACTCGCTTTTAAAGGCATTCCACAGACAGAAGAGCTTTTTAGTGTCTTCGAAATAAAAGTGTTTATAACGATGGTAATGGTCTTTTCATGGCCTAGAAGCACTTTGAAAGGTATTCTACAGACATTGGACAACAGAAGATATTTTTATAGGAAAGAGAGCTTTTTAAAATTCAAAAGCTTTTAAATACATTATATAATTGGAAAATTATTAAGAGACCCTTTTAAATGATATACATAAACAAAATAATCTTTCACGTTTTCTATTGAAAACGTCTATTCGTAAATATAGGAGATTTTAAAATGCTTTCGAAAATATAGAGCTTTTGATGGTCAAAAGTAGCAGAAAAACTTTTTATGGGTGCTCACAGATATAAGGGCTTCCAAAAATAAGAAAATAATTACTTTAAATGTCGTCTATATACAGAGAAGCTTTAAACGTTTTTATAGACAAAAGAGCATTTCCAGTTATTCTGTAGACAGAGAGAGGTCCCCTATCAACGGTCTATGTAATGCATTTCATCTTCGAAATTCCCCTCAAAAGGTATTCCATCTGCTTAAGATCCCAGAAAAGGACTTCAATGTAAAAAGGCATCTGAAAACTTCTTAAATGGCCTCTTGTCAACAGAAGGTCACTTAAAGGTCAAAATTTTATATTTATAAGATTTTATTGTTTCAAAGATAAAGTATCCTAGGAGCAATGTCAATACATTCATAAATATTGTATCTCAATTGTCATCCAAACTGAGTTGTGTTGCACTTATCAATACGAAGAGGTTATATAAGAGGCAATAATACCTGTGGAAAAAAGGCCATCCGTATGACAATCCTTTTATAGTCCTCTTATAGTTTTTTTTAAGTATTTTTGTTCTTTTTGACCCAATTTCGGATTTCCAATGAAAATATATTCAATATAAAATTCAAAAATAGGGTGTTGCAAATTGGAATGATTGGATTTGTAAAAAAGGTGATCTATTTTTTGACACTGTGAAGATTCTGCTTGTAGTACCTTTTGACCACAGACGTTGCCAGAAGAGCTCTTGGGCACAATTTTCGTGGAGGCCCAACAGACAAAAAATTGGATTTTCTAATTTTCGAAATCGGACAAAACATACAAAATTCACAATTTAGTAGAGGGACGGGATCTCCCTAGGCCGTCACCTGAATATATCGGCGCTTCCAACATTAAAGCATTGTAAAACAAGTAAAATAGTATCAGTCGGTATTGTCGACAGATTTA